GCTCATTTGTAATCAGGAGCATTCATGGGTTTGGGATAAGGCCTACATTGTGGCACAAGTCAATTAAGGCCTTGCCCTTCCTTTTTCTCCAAAATGTGAACTAACTGCACTAATGGAACCTCACTGAGAGACAGTCCATGCTGTAAAATTTTTTGTTTAATACTGAAAGCAAAAATTTGCTCCAACTTTCTAATAATTTAGTCTTCTTTCCTTGAATTAAAGCTAATAGCCCTCACAGTTCTTTTGCTTCACAGTTCATTTGCCTCAAGCCAGTCTGGCTCATGTATTTATAAATGGACAGTGCTTCAGATTGGTTGTAATACATATAAACAAAGTTTTAAAGCTAAATCCCTTTAAAAATAGGACAAACACACCTACTCCATTAAGCACAACGCATTGTTCTTAGTGTTTCTTAACTCTTATTTGTTCTTTAATTCTTTTATCTAACTCTGTGGTTAGAGAAAGTACAAATCCCATACAGACCCATTCTGGATTTGTGAAATCTGTACTTTTTTATATATTAAATTTGGATTTGAATAATGATAGATGGGTCATCTCTTTTAAACCACGTATTTAAATGCTGTGCCTCACAGGTCCCCTGCTGGATTCTCCTGGATTCTGATTTATTCTTGTTATTGGCATTTCTTACCACTAGTCCAGCTCCTCTTCAATCTGAGCAGCTATTGGTTTCTTCAACTTTCTTAGCTTGGCTTTCTGTTGAGACAGTTGGTTGTTTCAGCTACCTTGAAATGGTCCTTTACTGTGAACAGCTGTTGCCTTTTGCAATGAATATAGTAACGCCACAGGATGTGGGAAAGTAGTTAGCATCACTGGACAAAACATGACTTAACTAAAATGGCCAGCGGTGGTAGTCCCATATTTTTATAGTGAGAGTAACTGACCTGAACTTCACAGGTCTGTCCAATACCTGGAAATATTAGTTTATCTGGAATATATATTATTTCATTTTCTCAATTAGGATTGAGTTCAGCTGGGAAATGCAGAAAAGTCTAACAGTAGCTTCAATAAGGTAGAATTTTATTTCAAAGTCACATAAATGAGGTCTGGACACGAGCAGTCCAGGGCTGGCATGGGCCGGTGATCATTAGGGACTCAGGCTCCTTCAGTCTTTTTGCCCCGTCGCCCTCAACCCACGGCCCCGCACCTGCTGGTTCGACGTGGCTGTGCGAGCTTCAGCCGTCATGTCTACATCTGAGTCCACGTCCGAAAGGAGGGAGGAGAAATGCCTGCTTCCTCCCTTTAAACACTCTTCTGGGAAGTCCCACACTGCACCCCTGCCTACATTCTATTGACCTAATAAATTTGGTCACACATCTGTGCCAAGCTGTAAGGAAAGACTTGGAAAAAGTAGATTTTATTTTAGCTAAAAACTGCGGGTATTTTCATTGGAAAAGGAATGGAGAACAGATATTGAGGGACCACAGTCATCTCTTCTGCACATATACAGACTGAAATAAATTTGAATTTTTTTTCTTTCACAAAAAATACTAGCCAGAAATTTTTTATATTCTTCTTTTTATTGAGAGAAACGTGCATAAAAATTATTAACTATGGTGCAACTTGTTAAGTTCTGTAATACAAGTAGTATATATAGAGCCCTTAGCATAAGTGTCTGGCACATAGTAGGCACTCATAGTCAGTTGCTATTGATAGATATAAAAAAGGTCTCTGAAAGCATAGTGACAATGGCCTTTCACTGAGCCTGGGTATGTCAGAGAAAGTCTTCCAAAGGAGGGAGCACCTAAATTGAACAAAGGGGAGTTACTATGGGAACACTGAGATTGAAGGCAAGACCAGGGGGATGAGGTGACCTTTGGGATTTCAGAGACTGGAATTAGAAAGTCAACAGTCTAGGTTCTTCTCTATGTCTTTCTCTCATCTCTTCCTCTCTCCTTCTCACTCTCTCCTCCAATAGGCAGACATTTCCGCACTTCAGGGAACATGGCTACAGCATCCCCAGCATTACCTGTTTCTAGCTCCTTGTCCAGAAAGTCAGGGAATTCTTCCCCCTAGCCCCAGCTGTAAAATTCCTAGATGTGTACCCTGACCCAATGTGGGTTCTTTTTCTGAACTAGCCACTGTGACCAGGGGCAAGGGGTACCATGATTGGCCTAAGCCACCACTGTCCCAGGAGGTGGGGGGTGTTAACCAGATCAAGGGGATAAAGGGGGGGATGCAGTGCAGAAACCCAGACCTCTCTGCTCAACAGAGCAACCACCATCAACTTCTTTTCCCTTAACCTGCCTTATTTTCAGTGATACTTACCACCTGACTTTGTATTTACTTATCTCATTTCTGTTTATAGTTTGTCTTCCCAACTAGAACATCAGGCCCATGAGGATGGGGTATTTATCATTTTGCAGAATGTTGTGTCCCCAGCACTGGGACAGTGCCTGGACGTAGACGATGCTCAGTAACTATCCATGGAATGAAAAGCTTCCCCAAACCAGAGTGTGTTGGGTGGAGATGGGTCATCAGGCTGGAAAAATAGAACCTGAAAATCCTCCAGAACAGGATTTTCCCACCTTATAAATCACAAAGGAAGCAGAAAATGTTGGGTGGTAAAACAGAGGCATTTGGAGTTTCTCAGATACCATAAGCCAGCCATCCACCAACACTCGCTGGTTCTCATTATCTCTGACAAAAGGGACTAAGAAGAGGACAGATGAGTGGAATAATTCAAAAATGTCATGGAAGCTGGTTGTTCTCACCCCTTTGATTAACACACTTTTACTGGAACAACTAGCAATTAGCACAATGGACAGATTGGAGTCTTATCTCCCTTCCCTGGAGTGTTCACTGTAGAAGACAGAATGCTGCTGGGCTCCTAGGTGAAAAACTTAAAAGACATAACTAGACCCCAAGGAAGAATTTAAACAGTGCTAGTCTTTGTGTTGGTTTATGTCTTCTACTAGAGAGTAGCGTATCTCTAGGTGACTTGACGGAATCCAGTACAATTGACCATTCAGCTGATATCTGCACCTTTATTTCTGGCTGAAGAACCAGCTTTTTGCTTCACTCTAAGGTTCCATGGGACCAGCATGGCCAAGGATGGCCATAGTGGCCTGGTTTTCACCTTTCAAACTGGCCATGCCATTCAGCTCCCAGCTCTCAATTGATTGAGGGTTTATTCTTGGCTTTCTACACAGTCATGAACAGAACATCCTTTCTGTTTTTCTTTCCCATAACTAGCTGTGAGAAAGAAGTTCCAAAAACCATGTTGACTTTTCCTTCCCTTCTCTGCTCCTATGGTTTGTAGAGTGGGGTGGGAAAAACATTTGGGCCTTTGGGAGAGCCTTTCTGATACTATTTTCTTGAAAATCCAATTTTGTGCCCCTACTCCAAGCAGTTTGTAAAATTTTGTCATTTTTAAGTGTAATGAGTGGCACAGCTTTCTGAGAATCTGCCCTCCCTATTGGGAAACTGGGCCAAAGCATCTAGATACAGGATATAAATGAAGGAGAGAGAGGAGTTTCAGTGTGTATGTAAGGTTGTGTTCTTAACTACATTTATAAATTTTGTGTGATTTATGTATTGCTATTTATATACACAGATGAATACATAGCAGTAATTATAACCAAAGCTAACCCTTCTGAGCACTTATCATAGGTCAGGCATTTTTCTGAATGCCTTGCATGTAGTAACACTTAACCTTCCCAGCAGTCCTATGAAATAGATGGTATTATTAGCTCCATTTTACAGATGAGAAAACTTGAGAGTGGGCAAGGTAGAATAACTTGGCTAAGATCATACAGCTAATAAGGTGTAGAGCCAGAATTTAAACCTAGTCAGTAGTCAAACTTCCAAGATATGCCGTTAGCCTACTCTAAACTGCCCCAAACTGCCTGTCTCTTGCAGCGTTTATAGTTTGGGGACCTGGGCGTGAACAGCTTTAGTGAAGGGCATCGTCCAGGCTAGCGTCGTCCACAGAGTAAGGAGGCAGTGTCTAGTCATTGGAAGAGGTGATGATGCTGATGGCGGCAGCTGTAGCTACACCAGAGTTGATCAAGCGGTGTTAGGTTTTACCTTGGGATTTAAAGACAGAGGCCAGTGTTGGGGTCACAGCTTTGCTGCTTACTATGTGACCTCAGGTTATTCTCACTGATCTTACTTTTCTCTTCTGTAAAATGGGGGCAGTGCTAACCACATCACTGGAGGTGGGTGGGAAGAGTAAATAATATAATATATAAAAAGCATCAAGCATAGCCCCAGACATATAGTAAGTAGTCAATAAAAATTATATTCATTTTTAAGCATTTGTCTTATTCTCAGTGGGTAAATAATCCAAGATAATTGTTTGCCTTTCTGAAGAAATTAAATACAAAACCATATCCAATTTATATTTATCCTGAAAAAGTTAGTCATGAGGTCTTCCTTTTCCAGGCCTGGCTTTTGTTCAAGTCCTGGTTCACTTTTGACCTTCAAGTAAACTACCTTAATTTCCATAACTGGAATGTCTGCCTTCCCCGGAGAGCTGTGCGGGCTGTGCGCACCCGGGCCCCCGTGACCCCCTCTTCTTCAGGGGCGCTGGTCAGGCCCCGGTGTGGAGACTGTGGGATGCTCCTCTCATCCCTGCCCTCCTGTCTCCCATTGCCTTCTCTTCATGCAAAACCTGCGTGTGCCCTGTGAACTGCAGCCTCCGTCCCCTCCAAGGGCCTCCTGCTGGGGACTGTGTCAGGGTCTCTAATGGACAGAAGCAGCCGGAAAGGCACTTTCTACGAAGGCAACGCTGGCCCCGGCGGGCCTATGAGCCAGTACAGAGTTTCCAAAATCTCAGATATGGACAGTTCTTTTTTTCTTCCCATTGGGGATGTGGAGGGGGACCTTCCCGAGCATCCCAGGAAACCCGCAGCGCGACATTCCAGTCTTTGCAGATGAGAATGTCATCCACAGCCCCCATCTGAAGCGACCGCCTGGGGGAAATGACATTGGGGTTTATCTTTGAGTGACCAGAGTTATTTTTGTTTTCGTCAGCCCGGACTATTGTAATTAATGCTGAGACACAGGCGGCAACAAGGCTTTTATTATAACGCGCGGGTGAGGATGGCTTTTCCTGACCTTCCTCCTGCTGGAGTTCCAGTGCCTTAGTATGTGCTGCTTGCGCTGAAAAGAATTTATAATCGCGGGCTGTCAAAGAGAGCCATTGTCCTCCCTGCTGCGAACACGTGGGGCAGCCCGAGTGCTCTCAGCTCCCCCCGCCAGGAGCTGGCCGCGAGCAGAGCGAGAGCAGGCCTGGATTCTTCTGAGGCATCAGGAAAAGCATTTTGCATATTTTTCATTGCCTTTTTTTTTTTTTTTTTTAACTTTCTGCCTCAGAAAGACAGCTCCCTTTCAGAGCAGGAATTTCCCTTCAAGGTAGCAGGAGAGGGAAGCCCGCTGCTCCAGGATTTTACGGATCTGATTCTGTTGCAACAACAAATGCTGCGTGCATTTGCCAGATCGCATAAACAGGAGCAGTGACACCGCTAAACTCGGGGCTCCGTCCCAGGACAGACATGCGGTTATGGATTCGGAAAGGCGGGTCAAGGTTAAGGTTTTAGTTTTCTTTTTTGGTTTGCTTTCATCTCTCATTGTATTCTTGTGAATCCAAACTTGATGGTCTTTTATCCGTCCTTCCTTTGATTTTTTTTTTTGTAAACATTGTGGAGTAGGAGTTCCTGGGAATTTTTTTTTTTTTAGGGGGGGGAGATTTTCTGACTAGGAAAGTTGCAGGAGGGAAGGGTTGAAATGAAATGTTAGCCTGTAGATGACAATCCATTTGATAACTGGTTGCCATAACCTATCCATACTGATGCTAGATGCAGGATTTTTTGGAGACCACCAGACTGGTTTTCTTGGGATTGAAGGCCCAACGTCTGTTGCTGTAATGTCTGTTGCTATAATGTCTGTCATTTTTAAATTTTATTTCTGGACAGGAGACTGATGACATTGAGAGTCCTAAGCGCAGCATCCGAGACAGCGGGTACATCGACTGCTGGGATTCCGAGCGCAGCGACTCCCTGTCTCCCCCTCGGCACGGCCGAGATGATTCCTTCGACAGCCTGGACTCCTTTGGCTCCCGTTCCCGGCAGACACCTTCGCCAGATGTAGTCCTCAGGGGAAGCAGCGATGGTAGGTTGGAGCCTTAATAAACTGCACGTCTTAGAATTGAACACAAACAAGGGCTGCCTTGTGGCCAGCAGAGGAACTGGCGCTGGGAAGGAGGAAGCTGGTAACTCGAAGCTGGGAGAAGAAAAGGCTGTTAATGCTGGTTTTTGCGGGCATTAGAATTTCGGTGGGCTCTGCCAGCAGCCCGTTTGAACATTGCCTCAGTGAGCATATCTTCTGTTGGAAAATGTGTGACATCATTCCTCCCTGGGTCGCAGTGAATCGAGACGCTGTGCAGACCATTAGCTCAGAAAGCGTGCCAAAGGCTTATGTCCTGCGGGCATGAGGAAGGGAAGTTGGAGTGAGTACCACACTGTGTCAGTGGAAACGGATCCCCTTCCAGCCCACTGCAAACACTGCCCACGCTGAAAAGAGCTCGGGCGCCTGGAATTCTGAAACTTTAATCGGCCCGGTGGGCAGTCTGTTTGAGGCGTATGATACCCAACCATTGACGAGGCGATGCAGGTGGCCGTTAATGTAGAGGACACAACCCTGCCTGCCTGCCTGCCCTGAGGCTGGGTTTCATTTGAATCCTGTGGGTTTTATATCACCTGTAAGGGATGATCATTTTTCTTTACAAAAATGGATGGTCATGCAACCTGATATCAACTTGATCCATACTTTCCAGAAGCTGTTTACCTTAGTATTTTGCACCTTTGAACTTTTTAGAAGGGGCGATGGGTTGGTTCTGCATGTGCAGACTTGCAGACAGACACTAAGGCTGGTGGGGAATTTTCTGTTTGTATTTTTTTTTAAATCTCTTGATGCTAATATTTTTAGGGACTTAAGCCTACTCTCCAAGATGAAAATTATCTTTTATAGCTAAAAGATTCCTTTCAGCTATAAAATTCTATGATACTAAAATATGTGGGTATTTAATGTGTCCAGGTTCTGAGTCAATTACCCAATGGCTGGTATCTCATTTAGTCCTAAGCACAGATTATGACATACATAGTATCTCACTTAGTCCCCCCACGGGGCTGTGAGATACTCCTTCTGATCCGTATTTTACAGATGAACCTTAGAGAGGTTAAGGAAGCCTCCTAACACTGGCGAGTGACAAAAATCACTGTCAGTAAGTAGTGGAACGTTAGCCTCAAGAACTGTGAGTCCAAATTTTATACTCTTAAGCTTAATTTACCCACACTTCTTTGTCTGCCTAGTAGATTTTTTAAATTCTAGAATGCCTGGACTAATGCTTTGTTCAGTACTTAAACTTCCCAACAAATAGATTAGCCTCGGGGCCACATAGTATGACTCCTAAAGAATTCTAAGGTGCATTGTGAGGTACTTGAAAAACATTTCTAAAATTTTATATGACCTCTTAAGTACCACCCACAGTTTTAGAAGTTATAGTACCAAGTGCATGATCCAGTTGAGCTTTCACATAACTAAAAGGTAGATGGACGTTTACAAAACCTATCTTAACCAAACTATTTTATCCATATTATTATGATTGTTTTAAGAAATTATTATTAGTTTCCTCATCTTGGCTCTTTATAACTGGTGATGTAGCCCCTTTATCCTGTCACCAGCTTCCAGGGGATCAGAGTGTATGACAAGCCACATCTTGAAGGGATTTGAGATGGTGGTTGCTCATATTGTAGTTGAGCAGAGGCACAATTTAGCCTGCGACGATTAAGATTGATAAGCTAGAGGTTCTTTATAAATGTTTTTTCCATCCAAAAACTAACATGAAATTGAGCTTCATAAGACGGCATCCATGAAAAAGCATCTTAAACACAGATTTCGCCAATCAGCCTGATACCTTCGGGCTTATGTTCTTGATTGTAAACTAATTAAGGCCTAACGAGGTTTTAAAAGAAAAGCAACACATTTTTATGTGCCTTTTAAAAAATTAGTATAATTTTATCCAAGTAGATGTTGTATTTCCTTAGAGTTTATGGCTTTTTTTTTTTTTTAATGATGCTAATCAAGAAGATTGCTTGTCCTAATAAACACTTTCAGATTTAGAAGAAAAAAATTTTTTTAAGTCTTGAAACTTTATTTCCTAGGATTCCTAATCAATTAGGGAAAGTCTAACTCTAAAATTCTCCAACTCCATATTGTGTCAGTATGAAGAGCTTTTGTTTTGTTATTATTGAGGCCCACTGACCCATTCAATAGGCACAATCAAGGCCACACTCCCTAGAGGTGCCATGATTCTATGGGTTGGACCAAGTAGAGTAGGGATGCTGTAGGTCCCCAGGGTCGGGTCAGCCAGCCTGTCTTGCTAGATAGGTGCCAGTTCCTCCCTCACCTTCACTGGCATTCCTTCTGAGGCCATTTAATGAGCTTCATTGAGGAGGAAATACAAAATTAAGAACATAATCTATAAATCTGATGCATTTTGTTGAATGATTCCTCTTATGGGAGAGAAATAAGGAATGAGAGAAATTACAGTGCTAAAAGAAGATTAAAAAGCAGAGGGTTAGGGGTGTGTATGGCAAAGATAAGCAGACAGAAAAAAGGGTCCAGTTTGCTGTAAGGGAGAAAAATGTAGCCCCATAGAAAGGAAGGATCAGGCTTTGATTTAAACTTTTTTAATAAAAAGGGTGATCTGTTAATGTGTTAAACAACCTATTTTAAGACTTTCACTCAGTATATTATAGATAATATGTACTTTCTAGATACCGTACATAAATGAGGTTTGTTGATTATAGGATTTTAGAATTGAGACAATTCTAATCCATTACTAAGCCTTTGTAGTTGATTGAAGAATCATTTTCTTTCATTCATTTATTTAACAAAGTGCAGGGCTCCCTCTAGTTAGATGCTTTAAGCAGAGGACATTTCCCAAGAGAAGTATGTCCCAAAGGAAGAAACTTTGGGCCGGGAGTCTGAAAAACAAAATTGAAGTCCCTACCTATTACTAACCAGCTATAGAGAGGGGGCTGTCTTGGCCTCTCTGAGCCTATTTCCACCTTTATAAAATGGGGATAATATTAAATAGGAAAACAAATCTAAGAGTTTGGCAAGGTGTTTTTTTATAAAGCAACTCATGGGGCTCTACACATTTTATGATGACACTGAGACAGATATGCAGTACTTGATAAAGGACTCGGGGTCGGAGGGAGCTAAGTTACAAATGAAAAACTAGCAAGTAATGAAACGGTCAAAGCCTCAGAAGGAAGACTGAGAGCAAGTGCCATGAATAATTCATAAACCGAATATTTTATCTGCAACAATGAACAACTTGTTTATGGTCAATGCTTTTAACTTTACAGTCTTTTAAAAGCCATTAAATCACTTCATCTCCAGGGCAAATCATTTCATTCCTATTTTATAGAAAAGGACAGTCAAGTGTGTGAGAGACAAGCCTAGGAGCCCACAGCTCACTATTGACAGATCCAGAACTGTTCGGATGTAAAGAGGAGCCAGCGTTTATTAAGCCCTCACTGTGGGCCAATAATTTTACATGTATCTGTTCCTCCTAACAGCCTTATGAAGTAGGTGGTGTTATTATCTTCAGTTTACAAATTGGGAAACTGAGGCTTAAAGTCATAAAGTAACAAATGCAGAGTCTCATAGCTACTGGGGGTCAGAGCTCAACATGAAGTGGAGCTGACTTAACTCCCTGTACATGGCCCTCTCTGCCCCTTCGTTTAAGGCTGTTTTCCCAAGTGTAAATAGGTTATCTTCTATTTGGAGTTGGATAGCCTCATAATGCTCTCATCGATTAAGAGTCTTCAACTAGCATTAAAATGGTGGTTATTTATAAAAAGTAGTGTTTGTTTTAATGACAGCTTCACTCTATGGATCTTAGAAATCCAATGATCTGAGACTCAGGAAACAAGAATACAACATAATTAATTACCTGGGTCATTTTCCAACGAAAGACTCATGTTGGCAACATTGAATTCTTTTGGGTTGTCTGAAACACTCTTTAAGCCAAACCAGTTCATTTATTTATCAGACTATTTGAGGATGCCCACTGTGTACAAAGACACTATAATAAGTATTGTGAATGATATAAAGTCCTATTTGCAAAATGCAAGGTAGAAAGTAAAATATACAAAAGAAAAGAGTAGGTTATCAGGCCCTAAGGTTCACAGAAAACATAAAAAGATTCCCTCCAGCAGTAGATACCAGGAAGGGCTCTGATATAGAGGAATGTGCATTTATTATAACTCAAACCATCTCCTGGAAGTCAAACCCTTGGTTATGATCCAAATCCACCACTTTTCTGAATTCCTGTTGTTCCTAAATATCTGTGCTCCTGGATTATAACTAATATTCTCCCGATGTTTCATGGGTTGGTAAAAGGAACCTCAAAGACAAAATGCTTGGTAATTTTTATTCGTCAGAATATCTAGTACAGTGTAAAGATGTGGAACAACAGGTGCTCAGTAAAGACTCCATTCGTTTATTTATTTTTTTCTTTTGAGAGCTGCAGAATCTGAGCAGACATATAGCACTATTGCAAACGTGTTGCTAATTGTAATTCTCAGATACAGTTAGGCTTACCTCTATTTTTTAAATTTGTATTGAATTTACTGGGGAGACATTGGTTAATAAAATTATATAGGTTTCAAGTGCACAGTTCTATAAAACATCATCTGTATATTGCATTGTGTGCCCACCACCCAAAGTCAAGTCTCCCTGCGTCACCGTTTATCCCTCCTGCACCCTCTTCTACCTCCCCCCACCCCCTTTCCCTCTGATAATCACCATACTATTCTCTGTGTCTGTAAGTTTTGGGGGGGCGTTGCTTAATCCCTCCACCTTTTTCACCACCCCCTCGGCCCCGCCCCTCTGACAGCTGTCAGTCTGTTTTCTGTATCCGAGTTTGTTTCTTTACCTCCATTTTTTTTAATTTGAAGGGTATTTTTCCTGATGAAAGTTGAGAGCTTTGCCCAGAGTAGACTAATTTAGGCGGGTACTTTAGATTTGTCAAGTGAATGATTGAAGGAAGGAATCCTCGGATCCCGCAGAGGGAACCACATCCCTGACACCGCCCACCCGCCTGCCGTCGGGGCACGTGTCCCTAGCCCAGTGTCCCCTAGCCCAGCGCCTGTCTCAGCGCCCGTCTCTCTCCCCAGGGAGAGGGAGCGACTCCGAGTCCGACCTGCCGCATCGCAAGCTGCCGGACGTGAAGAAAGATGACATGTCTGCCCGGCGGACCTCTCACGGCGAGCCGAAATCAGCAGTGCCTTTCAACCAGTACCTCCCGAACAAGAGCAACCAGACGGCCTACGTCCCTGCCCCCCTGAGAAAGAAGAAGGCAGAGCGCGAGGAGTATCGGAAGAGCTGGAGCACCGCCACCTCCCCCCTGGGCGGGGACAGGCCCTTCAGGTAAGGCCGGGGCTGGACGTGAGCGCTGCGGGGCCTGCAGCTCCTGGGCACGCAGAAGCTCAAAGACCTGTTTCAGAACTTGAATGTCAGGTTACAGATGGAGGTGGGCAGGACAGATCTTTGGAGAGAGACTGTGATGATAAAGTATAAGTTTCATGAAAGTACCTAATTAGTGCCTGGCGCACAGTAGGTATTCAACAAGTACTGACCTGACAAGCAGATTTTTAAAAATTTATCCTGGTGACAAAGTTGAGGACAGATCTGTCATCTATGTCCTTCTGTGGAGACTGCCTGACTCCCGCTCCGGTTAGATTAGGTACAGAAAGATTTATCTATATGCAAAAAGACATTTTTTCATTGAGATGCATGCTTATCTACATAAAAGCTAAGTGTGTAAGGGATGCATGGAACACACTTCAGAATCACATGTAGAAACTCCTATTTAATGGAAGAGACATTGGACTGCTCGTCTCTTTAAAGAAACAAATGGTGTATTTCCTAATCTCTGATTATGTTTTTATTCTTTCATTTATTCAGCTAGTATTTATTGAGCATTTACTACATACTAGGTGCTGTCTTCTAGGCATTGGGAACCCAGTAGGACATAAGATAGAGCCCCTGCCTTCAAGAACCTTATAGTCCACTAAAAGAAACTTGCAGCCCAGTCTAAAACTGTCAGCAAAGCCAACCTGATCATTGCATGGTTATTTCTAATAGTCTACCTTTATTATCTATGATTTTTTCATTGAGCGAACATTTTATTAAAAGTTTTAATTATTGAACACAGCATAAATTTTACCATTCGAGCAGAATGGATTTTTGCCTTTCAGTATCAATTTTGAAATAGCTCTTAATCAATGTTGAGATTATGATGCATTGGATTAATTAACAAATAACTACCTTTAATTTTTGTTACATTGCCAGGATCGTATTGCATACTATGACTTTTCTTTTTTTAAGTGTAAAGTAGCATCAGAGTGACCAGGAGGTGACATGTGGTCTGCTCCCAGACCAGTCTGTTAGTTTGGTAAACCCTGTTGTCCAACTCACTAGCTATCCTGAAACAATAGAGGAAGAGGGAAGCGAGTCGGGGTCCCCTTGTGAAGAGGACCCAGCTGGCCAAATGGATCCTGATGGGAAGCCTTCTGCTGGGGGGTTAGAATTACCCACTGGAGGCGGTAAGGAGCAGCCTCCTCCGGAGGGGGCTGCGGAGGCGCCAGCTCCCAAGTCTGAAGAAAGAGATGCTGAAATCCGAAAGCGCAGGAGGCTAGAGCAAGCTGGGATCAAGGTCCTGCCAGCAGCGCAGCGCTTCGCCAGGTTAGCTCTGCAGGCCGCGCTGGCTCGGGGCGTGCCTGGGGTTGGAAGCCGGCTGGCGCGCTGCAGTTTCCACCTTGTTTTCCCACTTCTGCTGCTTAGTTGCATCGCTGTTCCCTAGTTGGAGCAGCTGTAAGTAGCTTATAGTTCTGCCCTCGGGCATGTCTCTGCTAACTAGTTGGCTCTTTCAAATGGAGGTGAAGAGCGAGCTGCTTGCTGCCTGATTAAGACTTGTCCTATTGTGGTCAGTCATGTGTGGGCTGCAGGACTTACCTGGCAATAGCATTTTATTTGTCAATGGTTTATGGCCTGTTGATTTTCACACTACTCCTAAATGGCTCTTATCTTACTTTACACATCACTGGAAAATAGTTCCTTTGAAACGGGGAGCACTCTCTTTAGAAAGGGTGGCTGGCTTACAAAAATCCACTTACTTCCTTTGTCCCAAGGGAGTAGTAAGAAAGACTGGGTTTATTTGATGCCTTTTCTAAAGCATGTTGATTCCGAAACAAAGAATGGAGTAATTACTTCTCTTAATTGTAACAAGGGCACTAGTATACAGTCCTCATGGCTTCATATTACATGTTAGATGGAGACTTTCGGCAGCCAAAGGCACAGAAAACTGTAGTTCTACAGTTTTACAAAGTGTTTTGAGAAGCTGGTGAATTTTTCTTATAAAATAACCACAAAGATCTAACAACTAATAGTGAGGCCAAAATTTATTTGACAAGTTGCAATTCGTAACAGTTTGACAATTGAAATTCCTCTGCCACTTGCCATTCCATTTATTTTTTATTTTATTTTATTTCTTTTTTGCCATTCCATTTAATCCTAAGAGACAGGTGACACCCATTTTCAGGAAGAGTAAACTGAGGATCAGTGATAACAAGTTACTTCCCAGTCTCAAAGCTGGTTACGGCTGACCTGGTGGCCAGATTCAGAGGTACTGACCACAGTATTCCGTCTGCGTCCCAAACATTTAATGCAACATTTTCCATTTCTCTATACAAGTCCCTGTGTGTCTACGTCTTAATTGCTGTGTCTACGACTTAATTGAAAGGTCCAGCAATGAATTGTATGGATTTCATTCTAGAGTAACTTTGTATTGATAAAAACCAAGGATATAGTCCTTCCCTGTCTATGATATTCCACAGGAAGTGTATCTACGCTAAACATGTATGTGCTTCTAGAAAACTCTAACATAAAATCATGCTTGTGTTAAAGGCAGCTCTCTGGGTTTCATTATAATGAAGAATAATGTCATAAAATCCTAAAAACAAAAACAAATTTTGGCTTAGAGACCTTGTCAGATACATGTTTTTTGAGCATCTACTTACTTGTATCAGAGGGCAGACTAGATGCTGAGAATACAAAAATGAGCAGTATTCCCTTCCCATGCACCATTTTTCAGACTGTTCCTGTTTCTGTCTTCAAATCTTAATATCATTAACACATGCTTTCATTTTTGTAACATCTGTGAAGTCTTTAAGCTAAACTTTAGCCAAAGACACCATCATCTTAATTTTTTTCTGTTTTCTCATGTTTAAAAATTGCCATCCTCTTGGTTAAAAAAAATCTCACCTTTAAAATTGGTTGTTCCATGATTACTGATATGGTTGACTATCATATTGTGTGTATTGGCCATTCAGGTTTCTTCTTCCATAAATTGTCCCATATCCTTTGCCATTTTTTCCTTTTAAAAAATTTTTATTTTATTATGATAAGAACACTTAGCCTGAGATCTACCCTCTGAACAAATTTTTAACTGTACAATGCAGTACTGTTAACTATAAATACAATGCTGTACTCCAGATCTCTAGAATTTATTCTTCCCGCTTAACTAAAACTTTATGCCCATTAATTAGCAACTGCCCATCTCCCCCTCCACCAGCTCCTGGCACCCATCCTTCCATTGATTCTTTGCATTTGACTCTTAGGTACTTCTTATAAATGAAATTATGTAAAATTTTTTCTTCTGTGACTAGCTTGTTCATTTAGCATAATGTCCTCAGGGTTCATCCATGTTGTCACATGTTGCAGAATTTCCTTCTTTTTAAAGACTGAATAATATTTCATTATATGTGTACACCACATTTTCTTTATCCATTCATTCGTCAGTGGACCTTTAGATTGTTCCCACATCTTGGCTATTATGAATAGTGCTGCAATGAACACATGGGGATGCTAATATTTCTTTGGGATCCTCATTTCAATTCTTTCAGATAAATACCCAGAATTGGGATTGCTGGGTCATTGGTAGTTCTATTTTTATTTTTTATTTTTTGGAGAATCGTCATATCATCTTTAGAGTATTCAAAAGAGCAAGGGGAGATAAGTGGGGAGCTACATTAAGCTCACTCAGCATGCCCAGGAGTCATTGTGATGCAGGGAAAGGAGAGTTTTGGCAAAAGCTGGAAATTCCATGAGTGTACTGGCCACTTCAGTAGTTGGGAGCTTAATTTTCTAATAAAACATTGAAATTTTTTATGACAACATGCATCTATGTGCAAACCTAGAATCATGGTTAATTTACAAATGTAATTCTTATTGGTGAATATTATATTTATGTGGTAATTTTTACTCCTGTCCACATTTCCTGTTATATGGCTTAATTTTTACATGTTTTGTCCAACTTAACACTATTAAGTGGACATTTGCAGGTCAGTTAATATCATCACACCCTAAATCTTCTGCTTTAACACTTAGAATTGGGTTCAGGAAAATTATGCATATTCCCAGAGAATGTCCTCAATAGTAGTGTAACACAGCTGCTCCAAACACCCAGAATTCATTGCTTAGACAGATTTTCAGCTGCTAGCTCTCTCATAAAGGTTTTACACATACCATGCCACTAGCCTGACACGTCTGTGTCTTTGTCACTAGCTTTTTGCTACCCACAACAGAGCTAAAAGTCATTCTAAGTTTATCCACATTTGGGATCCTGCTTTTAATGCGGCAGAAAGTAGCTTAACTGGAATGAAATGTATATCATGTTAAAAAAAAAATGTGTATCATGAAGAAGAAAATAATTCTTGGTGTCTAGTAAATAAGAATATGAAATATTTAAATATGCTGATGTCTCTTAAAACATTTTGACCTTGGGTCTCCTGTCTTTGCCATCGGATGAATTCTGGCCACCACGTCTTCGAACCCAATAAGAGGCCCAGGATATTTCCTTCTCCCATTTCTTAGCTGGAGAGGCCTGTGCTTGTAGAGATGGGTGAGAGTGTGGAGGCTCAAGCAAGGGAAGGAGGCGTGGAGACGAAGAGCAGGCTCTGGTTTTCCTGGATGTTGTTCCTCCCAAGTATTCTCAAACACCTCCTTGTATTATCTTTAACACAATATATAGAAAGGAGGAAAGGTGGCTGGTATTCTGTTTTCATAGTTTAGAAGCCTAGGAGTCCCAAGCTTCCTGTCAAACAATATACGAGGAGATATCTTAGCATCGAGGGACAGAAAGTAGGACTTCTCAGTAAATGTATGAAGTGAAATATTCATCTGAGTTGCTGTTGAAGTAAAAAGTATAGAAGTCAACTTTTCTTCTATTTTAGTTTATGATTCAGTTAGCTTAATTACCCCCCAAATATGAGACTCTGCCGAAGAAGCCAAGATTCCTGTTTTTAAGGGGGTAAAATAAGAACCAAGATTCACTTCCCCTGAATTAAAATACTGTGGAGATTTGAATT